GGTGAGTGGATGGATGGATGGATAAGTGGGTGGATGGGTGAGTGGATGGATGGGTGGATGGATGGGTGGATGGGTGAGTGGATGGATGGATGGATGGATAAGTGGGTGGATGGGTGAGTGGATGGATGGATGGGTGGGCAGATGGGTGAGTGGATGGGTGGATGGATGGATGCGAGGATGGGTGGGTGGATGGGTGGATGGATGGGTGGATGGGTGGATGGATGGATGGATGGGTGGATGGATGGATGGATGCGTGGATGGGTGGATGGATGGGTGGATGGGTAAGTGGATGGGTGGATGGATGGATGGATGGGTGGATGGGTGGGTGGATGGATGGGTGGATGGGTGGAAGGATGGATGGATGGATAAGTGGGTGGATGGATGGGTGGATGGATGGATGGATGGATGGATGGGTGAGTGGATGGAAGGATGGATGGGTGGGTGGATGTGTGAGTGGATGGATGGATGGATGGGCGGATGGGTGAGTCGATGGGTGGATGGATGGGTGGGTGAGTGGATGGGTGGATGGATGGATGGACAAGTGGATTAATAGAAGGCAGACACAGACAATAGTTAGCTTGATGAATGATGATATAATGAGCGGTGGCAGGTAGCTGTATAGAAATAGATACACAAATCGGTTATACGTGTGATGCATGAATGCGCAGATGACAGAAAGTGGATACACAGTGTGGAACAGCCCAGCTGGTCTAGCCCCGCCAGAAAACGAGCAAGGTGACCCCAGAGCAGTTGAGGTGACTGCTTCTGGCTGGACATCCACTCCCACCAGCTGGTTAGATCTGTGAAAGTTGGCAGGACCCAAGTGGAGTCACTCATGGTGACCCTAACCCTAAGTGTAAATAGAGAAAGCCACAAGGGAAGGCTGGGAGACGGGGCTCTAACTGGAACGCAGCCCTGAACAAAGGCCACCATATCTACTGTGGTTTACATCGGAAATCTCCCCGTGGTTCATGTGTTGAGAACCTGGTCCCCAATCCCACGGTGTGCAGTGGGGGGCCAAGGGAAGGTGAATCATGAGAACTCGGAGCTGCTCGTGGGTGAATCCACAGATGGATTTGTAGCTGTATGTGTCCTTAGGAGGTGAGGCCCAGTAGAACAGAATGGGTCATGGAGTGCCACCTTGGGGACTCTGTCAGGTCCCTGCTCCTTCCTCTCTGGCTTCTACCTTCTTTCTCTCTGCTTCCAGGTCACCATGATGTGAGCATCTCTCCTCCCCCACACCAGTCCACCATGATGTTCCTGCCTTGGAGCAGACAACCATGGACTGGACCCTCTGAGACCACTGGAGCATCTGATCATGGACTGAACCCTCTGAGACCACTGGAGCAGCTGACCATGGACTGAACCCTCTGAGACCATTGGAGCAGCTGACCATGGACTGAACCCTCTGAGACCATTGGAGCAGCTGACCATGGACTGAACCCCCTGAGACCACTGGAACAGCTGACCATGGACTGAACCCCCTGAGACCCTCAAGCCAAAATAACTCTATCGTCATTTACATTGTGGGTGTCAGGTATTTTGTCTCAATAATGGAAAGGTTATATTACTGTTTTTGCTGTTTAATACAAACTGTGTAGCTCTTTAATAGAGCATTTGTCTAGCGTGCCCAAGGCCCTGGGTTTGATCCCCAGTACAGGGGGAAGAAGGAGGAAGAGGAGAAGGAGAAGAAAGAAGGAGGAGAAAGAAGAGAGAAGGAAGAGGAGGAGGAGGAGGAAAAGAAAGAGAGCGAGAGAACAAGGAGAAAGAGGAAGAGGAGGAGGAGATGGAGGAGATGGAGGAGGAGGAGGAGATGGAGGAGGAGATGGAGGAGGAGGAGGAGGAAATGGAGGAGCAGGAGATGGAGGAGGAGATGG